GTAATGATATCAATTTATAAAATGCTAGAGTAAAATAATTATCTCAATATAATTGAGATAGCAAGATACCAGGGCCACCAGTGTGATAGTATAACCTGAGTGGTAGTAAAAAACTTGTACATTTATATTAATTACCTAAATGTAATCATTATGTTATGAATAATGATCATTTATATTTATTTTTTTGTACAGGTACAATGGAATCTATTCGCTGCAACTAGCTTAGTATGTGATACAAAAGATGGAAATAAACAGACTGCCAGAGCTTTTACTCCTTGGGTAGAAATAGAAGATAATTATCGCAAATATGGTTCACAAGATGAATTTTCAATGAAACCACGTTTTTATAATTTATCAAGAACAGATTTTAATAATCAGGACGCACCAAAGTTGGATGGATTGGTATGTCTTGTATATGAATCAGTTAGTTGTAGAGAAAATTCTTTACAGAAATAATTTTTATAATTTCTGAAACGATATTTTATAATAATTTGTAACAGTTACCTATTCTAACTTATAATAAAAGTTTTATTTAGCAAAAGTTTTTTTAATATTTTTTATAATGAAAAAATTATATTAAATTATAATAAAAATTTTTTAAAAATTTAGCTTTTTTGTAATAGTTTTAAATGTTTTATCTATATTTTGTAAAATATCAAATAAGATTTTATATAATGCAAAACATATTATTTACAGGCCTGCAATTTTATTTTGGGTACACCAGATAAAATGAAATATCCTCTGTTAGTTGATGCTTTAATTGATATCCTGAATGTACTTAATCAAACTGATATGCATAGAAAAAGCGGTGCTGACAATAAGGAAAAAATTACATTTACTGGATTATGTGCAATTCAATATTGTTTTTCTATATGTTGGGAATTATTATTGATGCTACCTCCTTCAACTCCTTACATGAATAAACTTGCTCTTGGCGAAGAGATACCAGCTGGTCCTATGCTGCTTCATTCACTGATATGGGGACCAAGAGCTGCGTATAAAACTTTTACTGGTTGGATGAAGGATTGTTTAGTAAAGCAAGGAATGTATACGCAATACGCAGAAAATTTGTTGAAAACAGTATCGTCCACTGTAAACTCTTTAAAATATGACGTCACCCTTGCAAAGAATTGTATCATTTCACTTAAACCTGAATACAATGCTACAGACAAAATAATGCCGAAAGCATCATTGCCAAAACTTGGTTCTTTATGTATATTGGCTGCAGTCGTTGGAAAGCTACAAGTTCTCATGGATGAAAATATATCGAAAAATTCTACTGAGAATATTGAAACTTCCAAGAGTACGCAGAACGTGGATTCTGCGCCGTCAAACAGAACTAAAATGATAATCGAAATTTTACCTCATATTTTATCGTTGACAGATGCCATTTTGATGTCATGTCGATCTAACATATTGTACCATACATTTGAATCTATCGAAGAACATAGAAAGTACGGTATGCGGGACTATCTAATTCTGGATAATATATTATCAATGGCAGGTGCAAATTGGGAAACGGAAACATCGTTAGTTTCATTTTTGCCAAGCTGTGTGAAATCAGCGCTAGACAAATGGAAGAGTATCGCGTTTGCTCCTGTGTCTTGGAATACATACGCGAACGATATAATACCAGCGGAGAGTTATATTTTTACTACGGTGAATTATCACGTTAGTTCTTTATCTGAACATCCGACGTTCTCTATTAATCCGTCCTTGAAGAATTTGTTATATTGCTTGGTCTCATTTATGATGGAGTATATTACTTCTGCAACAGCCCCGGAATCACAATCGGAGATACATACTCAAGCCGTAGACATTCTCATTTCATTGTCAATGGATGCTCGTACTGACTACCTACGAGAGATGGCTACCAATACTCTAACCAAATTATTGGGCCAAGATAATGATAATGAAGCGCGACTCTTGCGCGAACATTTATTTGTATTAAATCACACTTACAATTTGATAATCGAGTATACCGATAATACAGATGGATCCATTAAAGTTGTCATTGACGAGGATATTTTGGATCAGTGTATAAAATATTGGGAACGATTATTGGAAAAGCCTCTTGGATGTAAAGCTTTAGATATGTTCTTCGCGCCCGACACGAATCGTAGTCTTGTGTCTGTTTTATTATCTATAACGTCGCCTCAAGCTTCGTCACAGTTTAGCACATACGTTTTCCAATTCTTCAGCGCATTATTCAGAACGACTGAGAAACCGGGTGACGGTTCGTTGGATCGTCTTTGCAATTCGGTGGTTAGTTTTGCCAACGTTGAAAGCGACAAATTGCAGACATGGTTAAGACACGTTATATTGGGAGTGACGAATGTGCCGGCGACAATTTCTACAACGAATATACCAACACCCACAGCCGGCACTGCGAATACATTGGTAACTGTTTCTGGAACCTCGGAGGAAAGTCAGAAACCGGATGAAAGAAACAACGCATCTAATAACGAACAAGCGCAATGGACAATTTCCGATAGTTCCAACAATCAGCCTACGACTAGTAACGATGAGCAGCTTACGATCCACGAGAACAGTCGTTTCTTGCGGGCGCTTACAAATTACATAGTGAAAGATAAAAGTAGTTTCAGTGCGAACGTTTCGATAACTATTCTTCAAGTTCTCATACCATTAACGTATCATATTCTGTCTCCTACCATCGAAGGAAATCGATTTGTGCACTTGATGCATATTATGTCTACATTAGCTGATGCTGGATTGGAAAAAGGGCACACGTTGCTGTTCAAAGCTGCAACCGAATGGGTCGAACTCTGCAAGGAGCAGATAATGAACAAGGATTCGCAGACTTTTGACAAACCGTCGCCGTACATCGAAGCGGGTTGTTGTATATTGAATTACATAGCCGATATTGTGGGCGCGATTTGCCCGCAGCAGGCACAATCTCAAGATCGAGCCATTAGCCCGCCTTGGGAAGGCGCTATACCGAATAACGATGTAAATGACAGCGACTGGGTAGACGAAATTCCGCACGATGATGATGACAGCGCGGCCGAAGATTCGGACGAGGACAGTCTCTGTAACAAATTATGCACTTTCACGATTACGCAAAAGGAGTTTATGAATCAGCATTGGTACCACTGCCACACGTGTAACATGGTCGACGGGGTCGGTGTCTGCACTGTGTGCGCACGAGTCTGTCATCGTGGCCACGACGTCACATACGCTAAGTACGGAAATTTTTTCTGTGATTGCGGCGCCAAAGACGACGGATCGTGCCAGGCGTTGACAAAGCGCAGTCCGCAGAGCTCAGAACATCAAGTAGGCGGTAATATGCCGTACAACAATGCTGGCGCGCCTGCGGAAAGCAGCAATTTGCTCCTCACGAGCAGCCTGCGCCGAAGGGCGTCCAGTCCCGTGCACCTGTATGACAAGCATGAGAGAAGCGGACGCGACACTCAAAGACAAGCGTATTTGGCAAAACAATTGGAGTCATCTAAGGATTGGATACAATCTCAACTGATAAAGAGTGGATTGGTGTCTTCGTTGGTGGATCTGACACGGGCGTTGGTACCCGCGGTAGATACTTCCTGTCAGCGATACTCACCCGTCGGCTGCCACACACGGGCCCAATTGGCACTTAAACGCTTACACACACTTGACAAGAAGTTCGAGCACACGGATCAGCTTATGTTACCCACGTTGGGATCGCAGGAGGGCGCGTTTGAAAACGTTAGAATGAATTATTCGGGAGATCAGGGTCAGACGATCAGACAGTTACTCTCCGCTCATATGATACGACGTGTTGCCATGTGTTGTCTATCATCTCCGCATGGTAAGCGACAACATTTGGCCGTCTCGCATGAAAAGGGCAAGATAACGGTGTTGCAGCTAAGCGCATTGCTGAAGCAGGCTGACTCTTCTAAAAGGAAGTTAACTCTGACAAGGCTCGCCTCGGCTCCGGTACCCTTCACCGTTCTTTCAGTCACTGGGAATCAATGGAACGAGGACTTCCTAGCAGTTTGCGGCTTTAAGGATTGTCACGTGCTCACATTCAACAGTTCCGGAACAGTGTCCGATCATCTAGTGTTACATCCTCAGCTTGAAAGTGGAAACTTTATTATTAAAGCCCTGTGGCTTCCCGGTGCACAGACACAATTGGCATTGGTCACCGCTGATTTCGTTAAAATTTACGACTTGGGAAAGGACGCATTAAGTCCACAGTATTATTTTCTTGTGCCGACGGGAAAAATAAGGGATTGCACTTTCATGCATGCAGAAGACGGTACATTCCATATGTTGCTTATGTCTTCTGCCGGGTATATCTATAGCCAAGTAATGGACGAGGAAAGCCAGGCCAAGCATGGTGCTTTCTATGTGACGAACACGTTGGACGTTTACCATCCGGAGATAAAAGACACTGGCCAAGTGTGCGGCGGAGGTGTTTCTATTTACTATTCTCACGCTCTACAGTTATTGTTCTTCAGTTACGTTTGCGGCAAGAGCTTCATAGCGCCGCTGAAGCACATGGACTCCGACATCACAGTGGTATTTCAAATTAATCTCGCCAGTAACAAGACGAATGGCAATAAGTCTAACAATAATCAGCCGCAACCGTTGTGCCAATGGAGCGAGGTGGCGAATCATCCTGGATTAGTCTGCTCCATCCTCCAGACCAGCAATAATCCGGTGATACTGATGATCAAGCCCGATACGATCATGATACAAGAAATTAAAATTATGCCTGCGAAGGCAAAGATCATGGACATGGTTGCAATTCGGCATCCCAGTTCGAACGCGGAGCACCGCACGACTTTGATATTGTTGTGCGAAGACGGAAGCTTGAGAATCTATATGGCCGGTATGGAGCAGACCGGATTTTGGATGTCGTCCACAGTACAACCGATTAGTACTACTGCTGGTATTAAACCAACGCGAAAGAAGAAGGCTAACAAAATGGGGAAACCATCAGGATCAATCTCGTTTCCTATTGACTTTTTTGAACACTGTCAGGTTATGAACGACGTCGAATACGGCGGTAACGATTTACTGCAGATTTATAACGTCGCGCAAATCAAGCATCGTTTAAACACCACCGGAATGTATGTGGCCTCTACAAAATCCATGGGCTTTAATGTAGAAGTGACGAATAATGACGCGATTTTAGTAATGACAGGAATAAGAGTACTTTTTGGCAATCAAGATGTTCAAAAAGCACCACTGTACATTGAAGTAAGTTGATAAATATTTACATATCGATCTTTTATTTTTAATGTTAATTAAACTATATAATATTCGTATTTGTAAAGGTATTTGGCAGAAGTATTCGAACTACATTAACTAGAAGTCGCTGGTTTGATATTCCTTTAACGAGGGAAGAAAGTCTCCAAGCTGATAAAAAATTGACGATTACTTTTGGACCATCTCAAGATCAAGAGGGTGTCATTATGGTCGATTCTATCAAAATGTTAGTATAACTTCTATATTATTAGATATCTCTTTTTAAAATGAAGCATAAAAGTTTTTACACAGACAAAAACATATTTATCTTGATATTAGTCATACTAGATTTTTTGTTTTTTTATAAAGATATGGCAAAACCAAGGATGCATTTGGATGGCCTGAAGAAATAGAAGAAATTCAATCTTGTCCACCAACATCCGCACCGGTGACGACAGTCAATAATGAAACTGATAATACTATTGTTTCTGCATCATTGTCTTCGATCAACAAGTACGTAATAGAACATTTTTTAAATATATGAAGTATATAAAAGAAATTAATTATTTTATAAAGAAAGTATTCTTTAATCCAAGCATATATTGTATCAGAACGACAAAGGATAGTTCGATTAACATGGAAAGGTAAGGATATATCATAACTTCAATATTGCAAAAAACAAAATAAAGTAATAAACTTAATAATTGGTGTTACCAGTTACTAATTTATAAATAATTTGTAAATAATGGAAGTTTTTATGAAAGAATATGTTCAAAGATTTTTTTTTTGATTAATGAAATTGTAAGACAAATATTCCGATAACAATTTATTAAAACTGTTTTTTTATTACGAATTTTTGTGTTGTTTTTGTGTTGTTTGATTACAAATTATATACTAATTATTTAACTTACATAATACAATATATACTTTATATTAATTAATAAGTGTAGTATGAAATACAACTATTTCAATTGGATTAATAAATATAGTAATAACAATACATTTTTTTAAATTATATCATTTTTATAGGATGATATCCAGCATTCTTGAAGTCCTGGAATCTTCATTTATCTTATCCTCGCATGATGACAAAACTTCATTGAAAACCACAGCTATTGATGTCGCATCGCGATTGTTAATATTACCTACTCCACCATCGGTGCAAATGCACACAACAGCTTTGTTAGCTGCTCTTCATAGCACTAAACAGGCTTATCACCTTCACAAGGTATGTTGATCATCATTGATAATTAATTATTCACTAATGATTTTATTATGCATATTATGTTTTTCTGTACAATTTCAGGATCATGCGTTGCTATCGCATGTACTTGAGTCCTTAAAGTCAATGCGAGAATCTAAGGATCCTGCAGATATAGATGCGGAGAACTTTTACAGGCTTGTACTTATTGTTCGTGCTATTGCCGTTTCTCGACCGCACAATCTCGCTAAATTCGCTGAACAATACGCAAATAAATCAATTGATGAAAGCACCGGTGTGTATTATAAATCGTTCAGATTTTTAAATGAACAAATATGTAACGTCGAAATTATTTATTTTTAGTACCCGTTTTCGAGAAAGACCGTCTAGAAGTTCGTTCGAACAAGGCTGATGTGAATCAACATTTAGTCATTCAATTGATGGAGATATTATGGTCTCTACATATGGCGTATCCTAAGAATATGGCACTTGCACCAGTAGTCGTTCCAGGACTTACGCATGCTGAGGGAACAGTTTACGCAATCGTAGAGATCATTCATGCCTTCACGATATGCGATGTTGAAAACAATACTGCAATAGCTGCTAAATTATATCTACAATTATTATTGTCTTCAGATACCACGATTAGTTTTAGTGCCAAGCATGCGATAATCAGAGTGCTTAGGCCTAGATACAAACGCAGAAGAGTTTATATACCGAGTCCGCCAAATTGCAGTACTCCAGGTATAAAATTGAAAAATTTTTAAATATTTAATAGAAATAATTTTAAATAATTTATGATAATTTATTAGATTGATTATCTTATTATTTAATTTTCATTATTAATATTTTTGTAGGTGTAGTTCCTGAAACTGAAGAAAAATCTACGTCCGTTCCGTCACAGGCATCTCAAGACGTGGTAGAGCGCGATGTAGAACAGCAATTTGACATCGAAGCTGTCGAGGCTGTGGACAGAGTGGCAGTTATGCTTGGCGCCGAAGGCAATCAGAATTCTGCTGCCGCGAGGGTGGTTAATCATCCGTTGGAAGCGTTGCTCGGTGCTGGTAATTTCCCACAGTTACTCGATATGCCGCCGGACGCTGACGACGAAGCGATGGTAGAACTCGCGATAGCCCTCAGTTTACAAGATCACGAAGGAGCCGCTGATTTGCAAGCGTTGCGGCAAGGATTCCAGCAAGGCTTTCCTAATTTGCAGGGTATACAAAGTCTTCAGAATCTAAGCGGTTCCACATTGCAAAGTTTACAAAATCTAGCGGCTCAGGGATTGGTTCAAGTGCCGAACGCTGTTCAGGTAACATTCCTTCGCGTAAAGTGCATAAATTATTTTTACAAGTAGTATCAAGATTTTTTTCGACATTTAGTTGCGATTTTTCACATTTGATAATCAAGGATTCAATATTTTTCCAATTAGGCCCAAGAAGGTGGACATTACTCTGATACGACTGCTTCCGCGGGTGGTTCTGACGATGAAGGATCAACTGCAGCAACTGATGGTAGTACTCTTCGAACATCTCCCGCTGAGCAAGTAAGTTACATCTTTACATATTGACTTGGCATTTATTATTCACTGAAAGTATGCAGACGTGGATCAACGGAGTCTAGTATTTGCATATATTGTAGTAACGCTTGGAATACGTTTTATTTTAGGGTGGTAGTGGTGGTAGTAAGGGAAGCGAGAGTGGTGGAAGCGATAGCGGAGGCAGTGCCGTTGATAGCATGACAGGAGAGCATAATGTTTCTGGCAGGAGTTCCGCATATGGAGACAATGCTCCTGATAATGCTATGGCTCCGATTGGAATTGGAGTCAGCCAAGCACCACGTTCTGAAACTAATACTTTAGATGTTCCTACAACCTTCACTGTAAGTACCTATAGTATAAAGTATACCTTGTAATATGTAATTCACGTTTTTAAAGCAGAAAAAACAGCGAATAGCTGGATAATATTTGCATTTTGATTATATATAATATTAACATATTATTATATATAGAATTTTTTTTTATAACGTTTTGTATAACGTGCCGGTCGTGGGGATTCGAAAGAATACATGTATATGTGTATATTGTAATATATATATATATATATATATATATATATATATATATATATATATATATATATATATATATATATATGTGTGTCATTGTATTGTTGACGTGTTATTCTAAACACGTTATTTGCGATAAATATCATCACATGCCTCGGTAGTCGAAAGGATAAGATGCCTGCCCGATAAGCAGGAGATCCAGGTTCGATTCCTGGCTGAAGTGGTATTTTTTCGCAAAATAATTGCGAGTTTTCACGACTGGTTCGTGGTCGGGTCCCGCCGTGACGCACACCCTCCCTTCTTATTTATCTCTTGTTTTATTTGGTTTCATTCATTGTCATTATTTTCTTGAAATTACATTTTTATACATTTAGAATTTATATTATTTTAATATATATTTATTAGTTTATCAGTTTTCTTTAAAGTCGACAATAAAATTTTTGAAGTTTTGAAATAAAAAAATTGATTGATTGAATATAAGATAAATATATTTTATATTTATTATAATTTGCGTCATAGACTACTGAGCAAGAAGAAGGTACTGAGCAAGAACAAGGTGTTGAACAGGAAAGTGATACAACTGGTGAAATCACTGTGAAACTACATGCTATAAGACTTTTATTATTGGATAGATTTACTCAATTTGTACCCAATTTGATAAATGTTCGAGGAGTGCTTGCCATTCCATTTATGCAGGTACTTGTTTCTTATATCATAAGTATGCAATGAAAATTAAATAAAATAAGCAATCTTTAAAATTTTTATTTTTCATCAGGTTGTACTAATGTTAACTGCTGATCTTGACGGGCAAGACGAAAGAGACAAAGCTTGCATAGAACGCTTATTGCAAATGCTCGTGAAGGAACTGGAGATGGACAAGCCTGATACAAACAACATATGTGAGCGTAGCAACAAGAGAGAAGTTCATTTGGTTATTATGCGCTTACTAAGTAAGTGAATACTTACTTATTTCTATTAATTGTGGTTTTATATGCTGTACATATTACAATTGATTTATTATTATTATTTTTTTTTCTTAGGCGTTCTTATGTCTCGCTCGAAATACGCTACAAAGACTCCTTCGGATAATCCGAATTTTGTATCACAAACTACTGCAGCAATATTGAGCAAAGCTAGTATTATCGACTATTGTTTGACGTTATTACAGGCCTTACTCGATTATTGGAAAACGTAAGTTTACACTATGAATGTTTGACATTATTTCAATATTATAATTTATGACAATAATCTTTCACAAATATATTTGGTTTATTAGTACCAATACGGAAGATTCTGGTACTATGATCGGAGGTCAGTTACTTAAGGAACATCTTACAACGTCGCCTCCAGATATGTCGCCATTCTTCCTACGACAATATGTTAAGGGTCATGCTGGCGATGTGTTTGAACCCTATCCTCAATTATTGACGGAAATGGTACTACGATTGCCGTATCAGGTGCACAAATACGCGGAAAGTAGCGTGGTGCAGCCTGCATTCGAACAAGTAATTAATTCAGTAACTATTTCAATAACAAGTCAATAATTTTCTATAGCCTTCTTTTATGTATTTATATGAATAGATGATTGATAATTTTTTATATTTTTTATATCTATACAAATAGATAATTAATTGTTTTTTTTTTTAATCATACAGCCATGGTATTTCTATCTTTGCGAGTACATGATGTCGTATCAGACTCCATTCGTCAGGCGACAAGTACGTAAATTGCTGCTCTTCATATGCGGCAATAAAGAGAAGTACAGACAATTGCGGGATTTACACGCTCTCATATCTCACGTGCAGGTAATTTTATTATACACAATACTCTCTTTTATTAAATGAAAATAGTTTATAAATTTACCTTGAATTATTAAATTTTTGTTGCTAGTCCGTGCAACAATGTTGTACTGCTGGTGGTTATGATCCGCCGCATGCACGTCCGCATTCCATTAATTTACCGTATGATTCTTTGGTGGAATTGATCGAACATCTCAAATGTTGCGTGGAGATTGCTACCAGTCGCACAGGAAATTGGCAACGATTTTGCTTAAAGCAAAACACGGTTCTATCGTATTTCTTCGCCATATCGACACTCTTAGATGAAGGCGTGAGCCCTACAGTGCTTCAATTATTGCAATGTGCTATCTGTTCAAATAATAAATCCAAAGAAACAAAGGACACTAAGTCAAAGGTAAATGTCATGAAATGTATAAATTGTATGATTGTATTATTATCCAAAACGGTGCATTTTTCTTTGATGTTAATATATTCATATAAATTTTTAAATTAATTTTAAATTAGGAATCGAAATCTACGACTGGCACAAAAGAGAGGCGTGAACGTGAAAAATCGGAAGATTCTGATACAGAGGCTAAATTCGAAGAAGCACAATGCTTGACTCTAGTCGAACAAATTCAAAAGCAAGTTCATCCCACATTGCTGATGAAGTTCATACAAACTTTCCTACTTGAAACGAACAATACAAACGTTCGCTGGCAAGCGCATTCTCTTATATTAGCAATATACAAGTAAGTTATTAATCTTTATTTAATAGATTATTTAATTATAGAACAAAATAAACATAATCTAAAATATAAGATATAACGTTGCAATAAAAAGATAAAATATATATCTTTTTCATTTTAGAAACTGTGGACCAACGGATCAGGAAGTCTTGCTGGATCTTCTATGGCGTTTGTGGCCTCTACTCCCAGCATATGGCAGGAAGGCAGCACAGTTTGTCGATTTACTTGGCTACTTCTGTCTAAAAACGCCACATGCCGGAAAGAAGATGCACACATACATGGAACAGGCGGTTGCTGTTTTGCACGCGCAGAATCAGTTACTCGCGCGACATCCTAACGCGAATCTTTATGTAAATCTGGCACAATTCGTTGAATTAGATGGTTATTATTTGGAAAGTGAACCTTGCCTCGTCTGTAATAATCCAGAAGTACCGATGGCGACGATCAAACTGTCGTCAATTAAGGTAGATTCTAAATTTACAACAACGACGCAGATCGTGAAGTTAGTCGGTAGCCACACCATCAGTCGCATCACTCTCCGTATAGGTGATCTGAAGAGAACAAAGATGGTCCGTACTATCAATGTCTATTACAACAATCGATCAGTACAGGCTGTCGTGGAACTGAAGAATAAACCAGCCATGTGGCACAAGGCTAAAAAAATTACACTTGCCCAGGGGCAGACGGAAGTCAAAATGGAATTTCCTCTTCCAATAGTAGCCTGCAATCTCATGATCGAATATGCCGATTTCTATGAAAATATCCAAGCTTCGTCTGAGACGCTGCAGTGCCCACGATGTTCCGCTAGCGTTCCGGCGAATCCTGGCATATGCGCGAATTGCGGCGAAAATGTGTTCCAATGTCACAAGTGCCGCGCGATTAATTACGACGAGAAAGATCCGTTCCTATGTCACGCTTGCGGATTCTGCAAATATGCGAAATTCGATTACACCCTAACCGGCAGGCCGTGCTGCGCCGTTGATCCCATAGAAAACGATGATGATCGAAAGAAGACAGTGGCGACAATTAATACTTTACTCGAAAAGGCGGACAGAGTATATAAAACTTTGATATCCAACAAACCTACATTGGAAATGCTTCTCGTTAAGATATCTGAACACCGTTTGGATCGAGGATTAGAAGAAGGTATACAGGTGCCTGGCAGTACCCAAGTGAACAGAGCGATCCAGCTACTCGCACAGAGATACTGCGGCGAATGCAAGACCTCTTTCGAGGAGCTCAGCAAAATCATTCAACGCGTTCTAGCCTGTCGCAGGGAGCTTGTTGCGTATGACAGAAATCAACGTGGTCAAAGTAGCTCGCAATCGTCATACGGTACGTCCAGTGCGAGCGATGTTATAAAGGATGAGACAATAGTTTCGCCGGTTGGACGGTGTTACGGCTGTGCATCTGCTGCGACGGAACACTGCCTAACATTGTTACGTGCATTAGCCACCAATAGTGTAGCCAGAGATGTTCTGTGCAAACAAGGATTGATTCAAGAACTCGTAGAGCACAATTTGCGAAAGGGTACGGTACAAATGCAAGAAGAAGTGCGACAATTATTGTGTCTCGTCACGAGAGATAACGCACAATCGACTAAGGAGATATGCTCGCTTCTAACTAATCGAATCACGTTGACACTTCGCGGACGAGTCGCCACTCCTGATCTCTCGGTTGCTGTACGGCATGAAATGGCTCTTCTTGCGGCACTCGTGCAAAAGGAGGACTCGTGCTGGGAACAAAAATTGCGATGCGTAATGCAATTATTCTTAACGGCCTGTAAGGAGTCGAAAAGTCCGGTCGTAATGGAAAGCATCATACTGCCATGTCTGAAAATTCTGCAAGGTCTCATTAAACCCGATCAACCGATATCAAAGAAAAATAAAGTAAGTATTCGAATTTTTATAGATTGGCTTTCTTTTTTGTAATATTCTTATGTATATTTTTATGTAATATTCTGATTTTAGGATAAAACCATCGAATCTCTGGCGACTGTACAACCACCAGAAGACGTCAGTATTGATGTGGGCAAATGGATCAGCGGCGATCCCAAGCATTCGTATTCCGAATGGCTCCGCCGTATGCCGGCTAAGAAAACGGAACCGTCCACGGCTAAACCTCTTAAAAAGGTTGGTTATGAAATAAAGAACAAGCTAATCAATATTTGAATAAATAAAAATAAAATTATTAAAAGATCGTATTTACTATTCGTATTAATAATATACATAATGTATATCACAAAGGGATATAAATAAAAATTAAAAAGATTTTAATTTATTTAATCCTTTGTTTCAGGAGGAGGCTCACGTATTGTATTTGATGGAAAAATATGGATACAGGTGGCATCAACGTTGCATGAGACATCAAGGTGTTCAACCACTAAGATTATCGGACGGTGCTTGGTTGAAGGAAGTTCTCTTTAATCCTAGTTCTCGTCTGGCACGCCAAGTCGCTTGTAATATGATCGAGAGCCTATGTCAAGGTATAGAGAGGAAGAAGGAGGTTTTGGTTTTACTGACATATTACTTGGAAGAACTACGTACTGCTGGCGAGAGCAGTACAGAATTTCTCACGTTATATCAAAGTTTAATCAGACAATCACCCTGGAAGCAATTCCTAGCAATACGCGGTGTAATGACTTTATTGGCGGAACTTTTAACCCGGGAAATAGAGGAATTACATAGACTGGAAGAGACTACTTTAACTAGCGATCTGGCTCAGGGATACTCGTTGAAAATGCTCACAGAACTTTTGGCGACTTTCTTGGAACAGGAAAATATTAAACAGCAGTATAAAGGTCGACTAGTTGGCGCGGTGCTGAACGGTTATCTGTCCCTCAGGAGACTCGTTGTTCAGCGTACTAGACTGATAGATGATACGCAAGAGAAACTATTAGAACTTCTAGAAGAAATGACTACTGGTAATAATTTTAGAACTTTGTGTATTTAGACATCCTTATAATAAGACTTGTTTAATACATAATGAAGATGAAATATTTATTTTATATAATATTTATTTTTATTTTATTTATTAGGCACCGAAGAAGAAACAAAGGCATTCATGGCAATTTGTGTCGAAACGATACAAAAGCAGAATCCTCAAGACGTTCGTACTCCAGTGTTCATATTTGAAAGATTGTGTTCGATTATTTATCCAGAAGAAAACGATATCGGTGAATTTTTCTTGACGCTTGAAAAGGATCCGCAACAAGAAGATTTTCTGCAGGTAAGTCCGCGTACGCGTTTATTTTCAAATAAAATCTTTATATAAATGGAAATGGAAAATATTGTTATTCTTTTTTTTAAACATTTTAGGGAAGAATGTTAGGAAATCCTTATAGCAGCTTGGAACCTGGTCTCGGTCCTCTTATGAGAGACGTCAAAAATAAAATTTGTCTAGATTGTGAATTAGTTGCACTTTTGGAAGATGATAATGGAATGGAACTTCTTGTTAATAACAAGATTATTAGTTTGGATCTTCCTGTTAAGGAGGTAAGAGTCGATCCTACAATTTTAAATTAAAAAAGATATAAATTTATCTTAAGATATTTACTTTATGTTTATTGTTGCTTTTATACAATTATTTAATTTTAGAAAAACTATTATTTCCACATATGAAATCAAACATTTTTTTCCCTCTTTAGGTTTATAAGAAAATTTGGGTGTTGGAAGGTGGTGAATGCGATGCCATGCGCGTAATATATCGTATGCGTGGTTTGCTAGGAGACGCGACTGAAGAATTTGTTGAAACCTTGAACGCCAGTAGCGAGCAAGAAGTGAATAACGAGGAAGTCTACAAAATGGCAAATGTGCTAGCAGACTGTGGCGGTCTTCAAGTTATGTTAGACAGATTGGCAGCGATACACGATGTGAATCGTGCGAGACCTCTTCTTCAAGTTCTATTGAAATTGTTCAGATTGTGCGTGAAAGTGAAGAAGAATCAGGAGGTCTTAAGCAAACCCGAATTGGGAGCGGTGACTGTATTTTTAGACGTTCTTCAACGTTGTCTCACTACAGAGTCTGAAAATTCCCAAGCGAAAATTACCGAACAGTTATTAGACGTAAGTATAATACAAAGATCTTCTTGCTTGACGTCATGAGAACGATACGTAAATACTTGACATCGATTCTAGATCATGGAAACAATATTGGCAAACGCGGCTTCGCAACCGTTTAGTGCGTTTGAAGCATTTTCGCGTACTCTCGGTGGTCCGGAGCATATCAAGGCCCTTTTATCCTGTACACAATCTACAGCGGTTAGGCAAAGCACTAGCGTGCTCGCACACCTTGCGAGAGTCTTGGCAGCGTTGACATATGGCAATAAAGAGAAAATGGCACTGCTATGTGATTACTTCAAACCCGTGTTAAATTTTTATAAGTTCGATTTTGAACACACACCTGAGGACGAGCAGAAGTTAGAATTATTCTGTATACTCACACAAGGCATTGAACGAAATGCGATTGGTAACACGCTGAAAGATTATATCATAAGTATGGGTATAGTAAAAGATGCTTTTGAGTACATCACTGTAAGTATAAAGCATATAATATAAATATTAAAATACGTTATATGTAAATTTAACGAATGTTTTCTTCTTCGTTTCTGCAGGTACATGCGCCATGCGTTAAACCCACGTTGTTACGTACAGATAGCGACGAGCTGAAGGAATTCATATCTAAACCAGCTCTGAAATATATTCTACGATTCCTCACGGGTTTAGCTACAGATCACGAGCCGACTCAGGTAAATACAAACCTATATTCATAATTCTTTTATTAATAAATAAATCATTCGAAATCATTATTCTATTACAGTTGACAGTCTCGCAAGTAACCATTAGTATCATTCATCGACTGGAACAAGTATCTTCAAACGAACACGTTGGCTCGCTAGCGGAGAATTTATTGGAAGCGTTATGTACCAATAAGAGAGTAGCTGAACTTATTGAAGAAGCCCGCCAGCATACACGCAGCGAGAAAAAACGCTTAGCTATGGCGATGCGAGAGAGACAACTTGGCGCACTTGGTATGCAAACGAATGATAAAGGTCAAGTCACTGCTAGCGGAACGATTCTGCAGCAAATGGAAGACCTGGGCGATGAGACTGGACTGATCTGTGTTATTTGTCGTGAGGGATACAAGTTTAAACCAAATATGGTAATGTATCCTATTTTTTTCTTTTCTATTTTTTTATTGACATATGTTTTAGGAAATTTGGAATTAATTTTTGTTTGTGACAATATATTAGTATTAATTGTTTTCCTGCATGTTTTCTTCATTAATGATCATCTTTATTGTCTTACTTATAGGTGTTAGGCGTTTATACATTCACGAAGCGTTGTAATGTAGAAGAATTTGAAACGAAGCAACGAAAAACTGTAGGTTACACCACTGTCACGCACTTCAATGTGGTCCACGTAGATTGTCATATGTCTGCAGTGCGTTTGGCGCGCGCTAGAGATGAGTGGGAAAGCGCGGCACTGCAGAACGCTAATACGAAATGCAACGGGCTGTTGCCATTATGGGGCCCGCAGGTTCCAGAATCCGCATTTGCCAGCTGTTTGGCTAGGCACAATACCTATCTGCAAGAGTGCACTAGTCACCGCGATATATCTTATTCGTCGACAATTCATGATCTGAAGCTGCTTCTTTTGCGATTCGCTCAAGAGAAGAACTTCCATGAGGACACCGGTGGTGGAGGTCCCCAATCAAATATGCACATAGTACCATATTTAATACACATGGCTCTGTATGTCGTTAATACGTGAGTATATTTTAATAACTTATAGAAATATAATAAAGAGGAAAAAAAAAAAAGATTCGATGGTACAAAATTGGAAATTTTGGAAAGTAAAAAATTAATACAAAAGTTATGTTGTCAATATTATAAATTGATGTTTGATTTGTAGAACGCGATCGGCAACCAGAGAGGATAAAGCTTTAATGACTTATCTAGAAGTACCGCCAGGCTCGGCGTGGCTCGATAATTGTTACGAAGCAGAAGGTCCATTGTATCAGTGCACACTTTCGCTACTTTTACTCACGCCCGCTCGTTGGAAATCTCATAGACTTACACACCTCAATCGATTACTCATCCTCGCACATCAACGTTACGTGTCTCCATCAGCTACTACTAAGACCATCATGGAACCAACCGCCAAGGATTACGCTATTTACAAAAGCATTCTAATCTTCTTTGGTCTAGTGGACTCTATTTATGCAAACTTCTTTAAGGTTCAGAATGATTTTAATAATTTTTAATATCTATTGATTGAGCAATTATGTGTTTGTCTAAACCGTCTTTTCCACGCTTGTAGAAAGTAAACGTTTTGTCCGACGACCAGTGGCCTTCGGTACTAGCTGAATATATCAGGCACAATGACGAAGCCATGTTAAAAGCCTCGGAACGCGTGCTTTCATCGTATCGCGATGAATTAGTACCATGCACATCATTCGAGGAGTTTTGCGATATTGTTGGTAAGTTTCGTAACGCACAAAAAAATCGAAGAGGTCAATAATTGAAAAAGTTCAGACTTGAACATTGTTTTTAAAATCGTTCTTATAAATTATTGATTTCATTTTTGTATTATTCATCTTTAATAAAATGTAAATGTTTCAGGCTTATTAGAAGATATAAGAAATCCCTCTACGTATATTAATGATGTTCTTCGACGCCTTGCTTGAAGATACTGGAAGTTCTCTTTGTGTAGCTTACTGCATTATCGTTATCGGCAAATCAGTTTTTCTTCCCGTTTTTTCGCCCAATTGATATAATCGTTTTCAAAACTTTTCTATTAAAAGAGGATTTTCATGTCCTGTATTAAAAATTGATTCGACGTGATATATACCCAACAACAAACGAAATTGTTTAGGATGAACGTTGCGTTATACATGTGATCAGAAATATAGATTATTATAAATTATTCTTCATCGCTACTATATAAACCTTTACTTGTAGACAGATGTGTATATGGAAAAAAACATGCTTTAATAAAATGCGACTAAATAAAAGTGTTTAAATATATATATATATATATATATATAATCTAATATTTTATTTATAACCTTGTGATCTATGTTACCTCATATTCTGTTCTTAGGTGATTATTAAGATGGGATAAATAAAATATGAAATACAATTTTGTACTAAATTTTTTTTCTGTGTTTACTACCATTAATATAATAGCAAATACTGTTATATCGTATAGGAATGGTGTACGATCAGTTACGACCATTTGTATAAATTGTTTTTTTCGCTCGCTATTATAATAACTTCATTTTTATACGATTAATGTGACCTTATTGATAAGATACATAAGACTATTAACACTATTGTCTACGTTGTATAGCCTCCGTTTTCTCGGAAAATTGATTTCGCACATACAATTTTTTTCATAATAAAGTTTTGGTCTTAAACACTAATCAATTATTAAACTCGCATTACTTGGAGCCCGATATCGTATTTAATGGCAGTGAAACCGATTTCGTATGTGAGATGTAGAAAAAGGGTATCAAAGTGCCGAGTTAGTTTACTTTCGCTCCATTTGGAAATGGACGTATACTATACAAATACACCCACGTTAAATTCGACGTTCGACAAATTAAAACAAATCCAATTACGTATAAATGTAATTATTCGTGTTTGCTGCGTCGCGAAATTATTGTATAAATAATTGTTTGCAAATTAATATAATTACGCTGTCGTCAATCAACGTATTATTTGTTCATTTAATTTCTTTGCAGCTTTTTGCGCTCTAAATAACAAATGGGAAAATGATGTCTCGACATCGAATTTTAACGGGGCACATTTTACAACATTTTATGTAATCTCGCGCGTTGCACGCAGTTATCTCTTTCGTTTATATTCGTTGACGACACTCGCGATATACTTTCGCGTCGAGTCTTAGCGAACGATACTTGTCGTTTCGAGTCTCAACCGTACGAAAGATCGAGCCGCGAAAGGTCCAAAGTGTAAATACCTTAGATACTACTCGTACTGGCAAGCTACCGTATATATATATATGTTGCTGCGTGTCTAAATTGGTATCGCTACTATCTTTACGTCAACAATCTACTTCGAATAAGTTACTTTAAGGCTACTTCCTCGTCGTCGAATTATCTTAATATTTCGTACACTTTCTTAGATCACTATCGTCATCGAACGGGCTTAATATACAAGCGTATTCGTCGTGCGGCGAACAATGCGATTCAAAAAGCCGGCGGTGAAGAAGGCGGCGAACAATTTTAATCGATCACGTTTCGTGCGAATGCACGAGTAATATCCGAGCCCGATACCTGTTGCTTCATGTTTCGCCGAAGGAAAGAAACTGCAGTTTAAACTGATCAAGCAATTTTTTGCGTTCTTCCAAAAGGTTTGCCAAATTTTGCCAAATTTTGCATTAGCAAAATGAGAAAATAAAAAAAATGATGATTACTTTCAAGAACGTAAGAGTTATACATCCGATGAAAATAAATTTAGGAACATGAGGAATTTAGGCTGATAAATTTAGGAAATATAATTTCAATATTCGATTTGCTAACTCCGAGTCAAGCGCGAGGGAGAAAAAAAGCGTGAGAGATAAAAAGAGATAGAACTGAATCGAGTCGGCAAATCGAAAACGCAAAAATCGCTTTTCGACAATTAGCTCGAGCGCAGATTTCCTTTAATTTGACCGCATTGATTCTCTCTTCACAGGACGAGCGTATAAATATATCGCAGTGACTTAACGTTAAGTTAAAGAGTCTAACATCTACGGTGTGCTTAGTTTGGTATGAAGAAACAAAATGTCAATTATACACTAATAATATTAATTATAATAACAGTAAAAAATAAAATAGCAATAGTATCAGTAGTAATGTGATAACGATATAATGCGATAATAATAATAATAATAATAATAATAATAACAATAAGGATGATATCTACAAGACTGCGATGATGAGGTGATGATGAATTACGGATGCCATCGTGTGGCGGTGACTTGCTTACAAATGTGTAAAAATCGATAAGTAGCGGTTCCTTAAATTATTGTGTGGCGGCATAAGAAACGAACTACTCTACTCGCCGTGGTAGTCTTACTGACGAATCGTTGTGCGCGATGAAATATGCTATAATCATTCTCTCGGTTATCTCGGACGCGATCGTATATATTGTTACTCCTTTTATTTCTAATGACGTTGCTGTATCGTCGATACGCTAATTACATACGCCACGCACTGTCACGCTATTAATTAATCGTCGCGACACATATATACGCACACTCACACGCTAACAAACGGATGATTAACGTCGCCGGCACGGCCGCCTGATTTTCCCGTGCTGATTTTTCCCCGAGAACGGAATCGCGGAAAATCAATTCCTCACGAAAAGACGATCAATCAGCCATGCTGAGTTCTTTGATGAAGGCTCGAGAGAAGAGCCGGCCGAGCCACAACGTCACTTCGCAGTCGCACAGGCTACAAATAAAAAAAAAAAAAAGAAGGAACTAACGAGATTTCCGGGACGGCCTGATTCTGATCGCGAATAACTCGATTTCTCAAAGCTGGACAAGCGAGTTTACGCGCGTGTTACAGGATAATTTGCAATCATCATCTGAAACGTTTAGGAGCGTCATTCTTACGAAAACATTCTTACGAAAGAAACAAGAAAGATAATAATTTATTAAAACTTTTAATATTCAAGAGATTAATAAATTAATTATATGGAATTGATTACCAAGTTTGAAATTAGAATCCAAAACTAAAATTAAAAACAATCTAAAATTAAGCCAAAGATAAATTTGTCTCGCGGCTAATGGCTTTTGTGGCTAATCGCTAACAATTTAGAAGCTATCTCTGTATTTCTTTCCTAAGAATTTTTATCGCGGATTTATTCGCGAGGAATCTCTTCGTGACGTTTCCGTAACGCTAATCTCCCTGTAATGCTCAATCTCTGTCTACGAATGGCTCGTACTTTTTAAGAAATGCAGGATGATTTCGATGATTTCGCAAATTTGTCCCTCCCACGCAAAAATGAGACATTCTCTCGCGACGGTCTCAGACAGTCCCGAGATTACGATAACGACGAATGCGCGATTTCAGTCTCTTTCTTAAATGTACGTAAAACACAATGACTTTCCTAATCCCTACATTTCGACGTCCAGTGAGTTGAACGCCAATCTCGTATGCCAAGACTCGAAAACTCGGGCGAGGTTTCGTTCATAATCCTACATTCGGCCATACCGTACGGCTAATTCTATTTTAAATTGGTTTCTGATCGACAATCATAATTCCGTGGCGGTTAAAAAGCGCCATTGTTCTCCGTTACGTATCGTATCGCTCGAGACGAAATGCTTTGTCCTCATACCGATGTAAAATGACTCCGCGTATATACCTTCTCATGCTGCGATACGTCTGTCCGAATGTATATAAAACAAAACGAGCGCCATTGATGATCGTCACGATGAGGTCTAAAACAGCTCGCGCAGCCCGTTCATTGTCGTTTAAATTAAAGTTAAATTTTAGACAGACAACAAAAAACGACGACAAAATTCTAATGGAGCGTTATTAATTTTTTAGTTGTGTGCGCAAAAGTCGTAGACCCAAAGAATATGAGATCGATAAAAGAGCAAACAAAAAGCAGTTGAAGTAAAGAACAAGCGAGAGCTTTTCTTCTAATTTCATTTCACGCTTATTCTCTACGTTTGTATAATATATAAATTCGAATAAAAAGAGAAACTATACTATGTTATTTTTCCATTTATCCTCTACACTCGTTTTGGAAATTTGGAAAAGAAGCACTCGCACGTGCCGCAGCTGAAGGATCAAAACTCGAGGAAGCCGATCGAGAGCTTCGTCGTCGTCCGGCTCCTCTTTGCATACGCGATTCGGCGTGTCGAACGCCGCGTTTGGAAGGCATTTCAAAAGGCATTGAATTCCTAGTGTGTATTGTCACGGGATATTGATATCGATTACATGCCTTGACCTACCTACACGTGATTCCGTTTACATACGCCTCACGATCATAAGCCCGACTTGACGGGAAACCGATGTCCCGTTTCGCCTCAAAGAGCGCCGGATGTAAAGCGATCCGAGTCTGTATAACGTACGAATAATCATTGCTCTCAACGAGAGAAACGCGTCTCGTCATGCTAAAAATCGCTCGAAAAATTGTAAAGCGAGGAGAGAGGTCGACAACCGGTAAAATTCGTTGTATCACCGAGCGACTCGTGTCACGATACTTTCACTAATACTAAGAAAAAAAAAAAATAGAATTCTCCAAAATGACAATTGCGCGATTAATTGCATCCTAATTAGTTTCGTGTATTTGATTGCGGTAGTATTTCTGGCAGTATATAGAGCTTCGCGGGAGTCCCTTCCACGAAGTCCTTCTTCCACATATCCGCTTCCCTCGTCGGAAAGTTAAACGAGGAAAATTCATAACAACAAGGGATATCGAAACGTCTTGATAATAAAAAAAAAAAAAAAATAAAAATAAAAATAAAATACTCCGAAATCTTTTCCTTGAAAAACGCGTTGCGTTAAAATAACTGAAAACAAAAATAATTGAAAAATTATTTTACGAAATTTTATTGCGGAAATAAATGACTCTTCGTACTTCGCCCGTTCTTCATTCCGCGATACAGTATTTCCCCGGCCAAATACTGATCGAAACTGATATTTGATTCCTTTTATACGAGAGAACGATTGGATGGAGAAACGTTGTGTAAAAGAACGATCCACTCTCGAGCAGTCGCACAAACGGATTATTCGCGTGCGCGAAGCGACATACACATCGACAAATTGCGAGGTACGCGAACCGCGTGCGGAACGTTTTTTACATGCCGTACGCTCCGCGCAATGCGGCGGGGCTCTTTGTTTTTATTTCTTCCTCTTTTTTCCCCCCTTTTTTCTTTTGCGTACTCGGTACCGAACCGGAACAGGACGGTTCGACTGATCAGTGATAAATTGTGAGCTCGAGAGCCACGATGTCGCATGTTTAATGCCGGAGCCATCCTGCCGGGACCCGGCTAACGACGTCGATGCAGATTTATGCTAAGGAAAACGGAAAAACGATTGCTCGATAACAGATTCGATAACATCCGATGAATAATGAAGGAAGGACGACGACTCGAAAGAAAACCCATGATCGAACCCCCCCCCCCGATCGTCCTTTGGTAATTCGAGGCGCAACGGACGCGAGGTAAGGAGGCTCGTCGTTTCGTTTCGAATTCTCGTAACCAAATCTCGAGAGAGCGTAATCATCATTTGGCTCAAAAAGAAACCGCGTCTTCACGTTTTTTGCTCTCGTCGAACGTTAATATTTTACACCGCTACGTCACGATTAGACGTAACGCGATACTTTCTTCCTGTTTCAGTCGGAGAATTTTATACCTTTGATAAAAATCACGCACAATTCTCAAAATATTCGAACAGCGAAGATTATATATTGGATTACGCGGTACGCGGATTATGTAACGAATTATTTTGGCGTAAAAGATTACATTTTTGTTAGAAACTGGCCTTCGAGAAATCTGTCATTAAAATAGTGAAATCAGAACGCAAAACTACAGCGTAATAGCGTAGCTACGACGCTCCATTGTTAAAAGTGATTAATCTCACGGAGAGATACTTGCGCTCGTCGCGAGCCGATATTATTAATATCAATGAATATCGTTGTCCACTGGAGAAAAAAAAAGATTAACTCGCGTCGATCATAAATCACGCATTGTTTCTGCTACCGAGGTCCGAAGAGTACGCGTCATTGTCTGCTTTAGCGGCGTGGAGCTGTCACAAACTTTGATTTATGAACGATCCGAATAGGAGCTGCATAAAGACACATTTAACATTCCCGCAATTCGCAGAGAAATAAATTTTGAACACTCAATTCTCCTTTTCAGGGCATAAATTTTTCAGGGATAAATTTTTAAGGACAGGGCCTTCGAATCGTATTCAGATGGCGATGGAGCGTATCAGACACGCGATCGTTACATTTTGATAGTAATTAAGTTCGAGCAGCGCGGTTACTCGACTAATTAAAAAGACATCAGGAAGGCTCGAAATAGAAGTGTGCCTTTTAAACATTTATGTTGCCCGAATTAACACCCGTCGCTCCGAAACGTTCTGCACTTCTTCTCGCGTCGCGCTCGTGATAGATACGTCGAATGTATATCGGACATCTGTACAGTGTCTCGTCGGCCAGAGGGCCTCGAGTGCGCGAAAGCGTCAAACTCAAAGTGAAATATCGCAATTCAAAATCCCCGGCGTGATTCGAAATAAATCTGAAATAAATCCGTGATAGATTCACAGATACAAAGATACTGCCGGTAACATTTTATTCGTATTCCTTTCTCATATTATTACGTACGTTGCGCGTAGGAGGAAAGGAAGGGAGATAAAAACGTACGCGAAAATGCTCTAAAATGCGAGATTGACGTGAGAGATACGAAAGAATTTCTGTTAATTGCGCGCGGTGAGTAATTGCTTACGTCAGAAAAGATGGATCGCGCGGCGGTAAGTCCGCGGCAGTGCCAAAACAGGAATGGACGAATTAGCGTTCCCGTTCTTTCGTCAGCGAAATTTCGCGATCTATCTTAGTCGGCGCGAGCGTACCCGGGTTTCGGATCCGATGACTAGGAGGAAGTGCGTTTGCCGCTGGTTTCGCGCGATCTGATGGATCGTTGCTGGTCGGCCCCGGTCGAACGGGCGAACAAGCGGTTCCGGAAGTTACCGGCCACCGAGATTTCAGATAATATCGCGTACGCGCCACTGATTTTCCGATTGTACTCCGCTCGACAGATGTTACGAGACGGTGGATTAACGACTGTTCCGCCTATCTTCTCGTCCATGACAGGAAAAAATGAGGTCTCACGTGACTTACACTTGTACACGCATTTAAACGCTGCGTCATCCGTTTCTTTGCTATCGCCGTTCCCTCTCTACGACTCGTTCTCTCGAATGGAAATTCGCGTTTTCGAGATGCGACGAAATTTTACGGCCAGAACAGAGTGTAAATAATTCTCGTATTACTGTACAAAATTGCGACGTTTTGCGAGAACTCAAACAACGAGAAAGTGCAGTACCTAAAATACGTCTGGAAGGCGCCCTAAATATTCTCCCCAGACATCTCCCGGACCTCCCTCGAACTCGCGTATTGTCTGGAAAATGTCGGTAGGAAAACATTTTCAGTGAGATTTCTCGACCTTTGCGGGTCGACGAACTGGAGAGGAGACCCACTTACCGAATCGATCCTGCGAAAAAATATCCTCAGGTTGATTGTCAAATGCAAGCATCGCCGACAATCATTATCATCACGCGTGACACTTGTCACTTTGTTCGCGAAGAAAAAAAAGGGGTCTTCTTACGAATTGCACAAAATGAGAATGATGCAAATGATTCGCCAACGCAAAGTGCAATGGCTGGTCTCCCGTTAAAATGAAGATTACTCGTGGGTCGATTACTCCGTTACGACCCTTTCGCTCATCGCATCATAAGTTTCTCGTCGCGGAAACTTCACCAAATGGCGGAATTGCAGCCGCGAGCCAACCTTTCGGTGGCTCCAATCACAATTCAAATCGGATCGCTCCCTTCGCGCCTGCCTTCGAGCGTGTGATGACTCTCGTATGACTGACGCGTAAATTCCGAGCGCCGGGTAATGTAATTCCCGGTTCACGGAGAGCCATCCTAGCAGATGGTCTCCAACGGCGCGGTCTTGGTGCTGGGATTTTGCGTCACGCTGTCACCCATGCTGGGCATCCCGTGGCTGGTCGTGCTGTGGCCGTTGCCCTGCCTCCCGGCGTTGGTCTGCGGGTTCCTGCTGAAGAATCGTTTGAGCGCGGCTCGAACCTGCGGCTGGCAGCCGACCGCCATGAAGATCAGCACTCCCTGGAAGGCGTTTATCATATCGGTGAAGTACCAGATGTACTGCGGACCGCCGACCGCCCATGAGACGACGTCAGCCACCCAGGTGATACCCATCACGATCACGAGTTTCATGCACATGCGGCCCAGCGTCGCCCTGAAAGCAGAGACAAACAGGAACATTTAAATGTGAATATGCGACTGTATGAGATACTTTGGAGGAAATCAGAGAGAGAGAGAGAGAGAGAGAGAGAGAGAGAGAGAGAGACACTCATTCGGAATTCCGAGATAGCGGATTCTCTTCGAGTACCTCCGAGACAATACGACGACGACGACGATGACGATGACGTTGATGGTAAGTGAAATAGTGATAATGGAACGTCATGCGTGGAGAGGCTCTGTAATTTCAGCCGAGCTATCGGTTAGTCCGCACGTGTGAACCGGAGAGGCCGCGAGGCACGAAAGATCATGAGTGGAATTGATTGTAATAGCCCGGTTGACATTTCGCTATTGTTTACGGCACGATCGTTGTGTTAGCGACGTCGCTGAATGCGATACTGCAAGAAATTATTTATCGCGCTGGGAGACTCTCCGTGACGGTCAATAAAGCGATCGTACGCCTCGCCACACGTGACGTACGTAATGAATGTAAATGGTACGCGACTAATTGACATTGTTTATTTGATATGCGAGACCGTGCCTCATCTCGTTATAAATAATAGGCGATCGAATAATCGAATTATAAATTGACGCTTTTCTCACTGGCGTTTAACTATTGACCGATGCCTGCGTCACTTTTCCTCTCTTTCGCCGCATGTAAAATATGATTCGATCGAATTTGCGAATTTCGAGAATAAAACGTAAGATAGCAACGAGAATCTCAAGAGAATGTTACAATAAAAATGGAATGTTACAATAAAAAAAAAAAATACCCGCTTCGGTTCAAAAGTGCCGTCGTTATCGTTATCGTTACCAAGCGAGTGATGCGAGTGACGCGGTTGCGTCGGCGGCATCAATTCGACGCGCTCTGCATCCCGTGCGTAATATATGCGTCCCATCGCACAAGTCGAGGAAAGAGCCCCCTCCGAAGAGGGGGGTCAACCCACGTCAAAGCGTTATTAATGTGTCCCGTCAGAATATTCGCGGCCCGTAACAATGTGCACGGCGGCGGGCGGGTGTATCGCAGAATTACGGTGTCATAATGTCGCTCCGCCGCGCGCGGGCCGGCCGACGTTATCCTGACGCGGTCGCACGTCGATCGCACCGCCGAGAGAATTCTATTTTCGTTGGCGTTGCTAATTATTATGAACGGACCGCGTGCAGTCACTCGCGGCCGTCGCGAAATCCGCGGCGGAGTCCCGGAGGGGAAGCGGTAGTCGAAAATAACGTCGGGGGAGAAAGAGACGACGACGAGACGACGATGACGATGGCGTTGAGAATGCTTTGGAAACCCCATCGATGGAGATAAGATTGAGGGAGGATAATTTGGTAACGCGAGTTTTTCTCACGAGGGTGTCAGCAATTTAGGCAGAAATTGAAATAATCATTGGTAAAGCGTGTTATATCATTTTAATTGCGCGAATTTTTACATAGTGCATAAAGGGCTGCTATTGTAAATGAGCGCTGAAAGAATTTAATTGTTTCTTAAGAAAGATTTGAATATTTCTTGCCTTTTCTCGCACTGATTTTACATGTGAATGGAAGAATATGCAAAATAGTCTAAATAATTATTTAATAAATTTTCTTGTGCATTTAATTATTATGCGAAGTTTCAGGATATGAAGTTCCAGAGACTTCTATTTTTAAACATAAATACAAGGGAAATAAAAATAATTCCTCTCCACTCATTTGCCGCATTTTCATGTATTTTTTCCGCACTAATGATGTAGAAAATCAAATTTTACTTACTTTTCTAAAAAACAGACACAATTACAAAATAAGTAGGAGAAATTCTGGAGACTTAATTTCTACAGTTGAAAGCTAAATGCAAAATAATTGTAATAGGAATTGTAGAATACATCTTGTTTCCGTGACGTGGAAACATTTCATTGGAGCTTCCGTCCCGAAAAGCGTGATATTACCTTCGCCGATGTATCCGCACGTGAATTTCACCAGATCGCGAGCGGACGTTGGCAAATAAACGAGAGAAAAAAAAAAAAAGGTTTCGGAATGTTGCCGAATAAATGTGATACGATCGATCATGACAGCTGTCACGCATCGCGAACAAAACGCGACCGGAAGTAGGATGTATCGACCGGAGTGTGTGGATGCAAAAAAGTACGATATCGAGGGTCAATATTATGAGCACGGCAAACAACAATAACCGGAGAGAATTCCTGCGGGAAGAGTGGGAGAGGGGAGGTGGATAGGGCAGGGGGAGAGAGGTAAAATGCGAGCGAACGAGGTGGAATCCACACGTGGAAGCTTCGTAAATATTGAATCTCGCTGCTGCACCGGTCTCTCTATGGCCGGGTCCGGGTAACGCGAGACAATAAGGCGACGGAACGGGAAGAACAAATGAGAGAGCGCGCGGAAGAGAAACGCGAGAGTTCCCGAGGAGGCAACAATACGGTCCCTGTGGCGCACAAAGGACTCGAAGGAAGATGTCCATTATCGAGGACTGAGAAAACGGGAAAGGGAAACGCGCGCGATTGCCGTGGCTTTTTCCTTTTCGCGTCTTCCTCCTCCTCCTCCTCCTCCTCCTCTTCCTCCTCCTCCTCTCGTCGTCGGGCAAACAAACCGAATGAAGTCGTTACAAGACGCATCTGTACATACGTGACAAAAATCCATTTTCTAAATATAGAGTTGCATTCCTGGCCGTTCATATTTGCAGCAGACGAACAGATCGGCGGGACCGGAGTACTTGCGCGGTTGTTGGATCTTTTTCATAAATAATGCGGTTTTCACAGCTGTATGAAATACAGCGGCGGATTAAAGGGGGAACAATCGACGTCGCGTTTCGCGCTATTTAAAGTAAGGCGAACTCGATAAGCCGTGATTTCGCTGAGATTTCGCGCTTCCGCGCATTTACCGCGCTCCTCGTCTTCGAGAGGGGAGGAGAGCGGGAGGTGATTATCTCGTTTAATCGACGGAGCAAAAACGATGGACGATATTGGACGAGTCGCGCGCGAAGGAACGAGCTTAAAGCTCAGAAGACGAAAATGACGACGGCGACGCCGAGGGGTCGAGGGGCGGAGGGGCGCGGACGAAAAACGATCTGAAATAGACAGCCGCGGGGAGCGTTTATGCGCGTTTATTCGTGGTTGCAAAATAAATGTCAATCTTCACGGACGGCAAGAATGGCGGAAGGTCCGCGAACTCGACGTCGGAGTTAATTGACACGAGTAGACGGCCGGGAGAAATTTGCGCGTCCGCGCGACGCGATGACTTGGGAAATATCAAATACGGCTTGATGCCGCTAGAAAGGGTCGACGACTTCGAATAAAATTTTAACCATCGCCTTGTTTACTCCGTCGTCAGGCGGCTTTCGAAGTTTCTTGACGTTCGCGCAGTTAATCATTCATAAGTCATACGTTCATAAGGCATATGCTATTTTTAGACACGCCTGGCTTTGCAATCAACGCGCACAATTCGCTATGGTAAAGAAGGCAATCGTCGCGCAGCGAAGCCTTCTCCAGAGATTCGCGGAGACATGTACCTAGATATACTTTCCTCTACAATCGTATTGCAATTATATTGCTCGTGACCAAAAATATACGTAAAAGAAAAAGAAAGAGGGAAAACACGTAGAAACACGGAGCAAATAAATATGGACAAGTTACGGAGGTGGTATATCAGCTGCAATGATAGTGATATAAAAGTGCGTTACGTCTTGCCGGCGGACACGTTCGCACTTGTAAATCTCGCGCTCGCGGTTCCCAGTACTTTCCCTCCAAGAAACTTACACACGTGGAAAAACGTAAAGGCGCGATATAACGTGAGAGAATCCTTCTTCCCGCTATTTAAACGCGAAGTCACGAAGCGACGGCTTACGGCCGACAGCCGCAGGCAGGTATCGCGGAGAGAGCACTATATAAGTATATTTATATACGATATCCTCTCTCTTTCTCTCCCTCGCCCTTTCTCTCTCTCTCTCTCTCTCTCTCTCTCTCTCTCTCTCTCTCTCTCTCTCCCTCTCGTTCTCTACGCGGAGACTATTCTCGCGCGGTCGTGAGTACAGAAATACTGTCGCGTGTTCTCGGACGTGTGGGATAGGCGTCAGCATAAAATATTTTTTGCCGGTGAAAATCCAGCTATCTCGGCTGTGAGACGAGGAACCGAGGAAACACAGATCTCCACTTTGCGCGACCACGAAAGGAAAAAGGGCAGCGGCGGCGGCGGAGATGCGAAAGTGCATGGGACTTGGCGAATTGGATCCGCACGTCGTGCTCGTGCGACAGTTACCGCGAGTATTTCATACCTTGCGTTTATACCCCCGTGGTCACCATCGTGTCGTCTTTTATCAAAGGATAATTCTAGCCAGCTTCTCCTTCCTCCGGCAAATGTCGTCAAATCGGACGTGACGTCCGTACGTTATTTGGCGCCGCTCTGAAACTCCGGCGTTGGCGACGTGGCGCGAGACGTTTTAAAATGTCAGAGAATCGTCCCGTTCAACGAGAATTTTTTATCGCGGATGTGTATTATATTATATTTTGTAATTATGCGACACGTCAGACAATTCCGTCACTCCGTTTTATACGGCTGTCGATTACGATATCCCTTCAATTTTTAATTCGTTTCTTATAATTATCACAATTGCATCTATCGCGTCCGAGAATAAACGTAGAAAAGTTGTTAAAATATTGATGGTTGAAATATTTATTTTGATGCTTATAATCATATTATTTGTCAATCTTGATTTTATTTTTGAACTACAATCACAATTGCTCACATTTGAATTTCATCGAACAATCTCCAAAATCAAACTGAAATAATAAAACATGAAATAAATGATATATTTGCGCGTATTTTGAATGAAGAAATATTATGACGTGTGAATGATATACTCATTTCATTCTCAATAGATGACGATGATTGTCAAATCTTGATGTTGAATAGAAAAATAACATTGTTATTTTCATAAGCGCCATCATCGTTCATAGGTTTCCGCAAGGCAATTTATCCACGTCGAGGTATTTCGGAAACTATGCAAACGTACGTGATGAACGAAATCCGTTCGTCGAAGGTATGGAACAAACTCGGGATGAGGCGAAATCTGCATATGCTATTACGTTTCCTTTGCCAACAATGGCCGTATTGTGTTCGCGTACGTACATCACGACAGGCAAATAGCGTCGTCGAAATCGCGAATTGGGATCGTCAATATCAATCTCGAATAGAGCGAGAGGATGTAAGCGGATCGAAGGGACGTCGAGCGAATGGAAAATAACGATTGGCTGATATCAGTCGGCTGGAAGGTAATAAAATAAACTTTCCCGCGCACGCAAAGTCTGCACTCTATAAAAAGAATCTTCCATTCGCCTGTGCAAATCGGAAGGTACGAGGTGTCAAAAAACCTTTTGCCGTAAAAAAAGATATTTGGACGTTCCAACGTCCAAGTTTTTCCGCGCGTTTTTCTTTTGCGTTTCACGTTATCTACTTATAAGTGTTTTGGTAAAAATAAACTTGAAATAAAAAAATTTGTCTCTTTTCATTGATCAAGGAGCTAGTCGATGAGCATAAAAAATAAATTATTTCTGGTATTATCAGCTGTTGTTTATGTACATGTACATGTGAAAATATGGAAATATGGGCGACAGATAGTTCGATAGACCTTTAGTCGAGGATTTTCCTCGACTTTTTCTACATGTCGTCTTCGCGCGACCAGTTATCCTTGATATTCGACGTACCCAGGCGCCTGTCCTTCGGCGTCCAAAATAAAGTCCCCGGATTCCCGCGAAAAACAAGGCGTTTCGCTTGGACCAATAAAACTTGGTCGTTTCCGAGCCGAAAGTGTCGTTTCGCAGCCGTTTCGAAACGATCGAGCGTTTCTGCTTCTCGACGGCCGTGCGCAACGTCGCGTTTATTATCGTTGCATCGGAAACGCGTCGGAAACGAGCTCGTAAACGCGGCTGTTGGCACAATTTTGGTATATTCCTAGAGATGTTGTGGGAGAGAGAGAGAGAGAGAGAGAGCATCGATATTTTCGCGCGTTATCGATACGCTGTTCTTCTCACGAAGAACAGAGTTGGAGCGAACGTGGCTTTTCCGTTCGCTCGAAGAATGAGCCCGCGCGAAATATTGCGAAAGCGTCTCTCTTAGTTTGCACGTTGTAACGAGCCCGTGACACGTTCCGACTTACTGACTCCTTGGACTTTCACCGCGTTTATTTAAACTTGTGAACAATGTCGCAGTTGTTTTCGTGTCAGATCTTAACGAATAAAAAGTCGTCGCGTGTTTCGAAGTCGAATTCTCCAACAGCCGTTCGCCGCTTTCGACGAGAAATTACCTCACGTGCCTGTGCGCTGTCGAGTAGTCAGCTCGCTTCAATCTTTTAACAGATCGCGCGATTGATCGGTCAATTGGATCGACCAGCCGGACTTGGATCGATCAGCGAAACGCAGTCGAACGCGAAGACGGAGCGAGCGGAGCCTCAAGTTCGCGCGAACGAGTTTACCTCGCGCGCGGCGGCAAGGTCGCCGGTCTTTTGACTTCTCTTTCGAACAGCTATTCTCCGAAAATTGCAGAAAAACGCGGGGAGAATATTCGCGAAATTTCACGGTCCGGCGTAAGATAAATGTTTGCGCGAGACAAAGGCTGGCCGGCCGATGTCCCGCGTGACGAGCGCGCGACATGTGTGTTTACGAATCTGTCTCGAACCGGCAGGAAGGAGACGTAAACGTTATTATTTTTCATGGTGGAACGTCGGCGAGAACCGTCGACCGCAAGGTTGAAGGCCCCCCCCCCGAGAACTGGCTGGCAGTGCCACTCTGTTTGAATTTAGAGAGACCATCAGATGGTCAACTTCGAGCCGCGCTGTCTCGGCTAATCCAACCAAACTGCAGAACGATCCTTCGTTAATCCAGCGATAAATCGGCCGCTTCCGAATACCCGTACACGATTGGCGGATTGGCTCGAAGATACGCCGTTCGCTACGGCACATAATTAAATTTCATGCCTCCCCTAATCCTGACTTTACCTTGTACTTGCTTAATTTTCTTATTCTGATTAACGTTGTTGGGTTTTTTTTTTTTTTTTATTAATTTCATTCGATCGATATCGATACAGAATAAAGTCTAGTCATTATTTCCGTTGAGGAGAAAGAAAAATGTGAGACTGGTAAATATTAATATGGCGAAAGCATTATTATCCGTACGTTGTACAAGAAGATCGGATTTTACGTTACGGAAAAAATTTATTTATTAACGTACAAAAGCCTTTTGTTGGCACGAAGAATAAATTGGTATTATTCGCGCGAAAGAAGGAAAAAAAAAGGACATTGTTATTCCGTACAATTTCTCTGGAAACGAAGTTCGTTATATTTATGAATAGAACACGCAAATGAGTATCGCGTTCGCTTATAAAACAGTTGAAACATTACGAATTATTTCGTATGGAAACAGTAATGAAAAATGAACGAACAAGATGTATCGTGGTACCCCCTCTTTTCTGCATCAAGGAGAATGTTTACTTACCTCTCGGTGGTGCTTTTCACGAATTCGCCTTTCCAGAGACCGCACGTCAATTCCCGGGCAGTTACGCCGAAAAACATAAGATTTATAGCCAGAAGCACTCCGATCGGTCCAAAGAAGTACGCCAGAATTTCCATGTCACCTGCAAGGCAAACGAGATGGATTTAAAATTCTGTTAAGGACAAAACACTTTGTATAATCCACTTTGCGATTATACAAAGCGTTATTATTCCGCTCCGTATAATGTATTATAATAATTACGTATGTTTAATCTTTATTCCTAATTTTTATTTCCAAAATTTAATATTTATTCCTGCTCTAACGCGTTATTTTATTTTATTTTTTATTTTTTATCATGACATTATTAGCTTTTGAATGTTCACGCGTAAATGTGAAGATTCCGATAAGGTAATAATAACGATGACGACGTTGACGCGAGTAAAACGGTAGTAACGACTTTTCTCGAAACCCACGGATTTCTATTTTGGACGCATCGACACGAAACGATCCTCGTACCTGGATTAATCATACAGCGATTCTCGTCCTCAGGAATCAGGTCGGTTTCCACGTCGACTCCAGATTTAAGCGGCGCATATGCCAGGATGGCGGTGGCTGTTTCGCGTTTCAATAATAAACGACGCGATCGAGCAGCAAATGGACAGCGGGTTTATCCCGCGCGATGCTTAATTCGGCGTAGCACCTTTCTGCGATTCGTGATGTCTGCTCGAAACTCCATTCGCGCATCGGAAAGCCACGACGCGCCACGTCTAACAATTCTTGCATACCGAAAGCGAAGATTGATACGCCGACTCGTTAATCATCTCGCGCGTTTATTGAACCGGAGATATTCCTGGCACGCGTATGCGAAAATCAATCTGTAAGAGCTCCAGCTTCGTCGTTTCTTCGAAAATTAAATGCTCGCTTATCGGCTGAAAGAACTAATAGACGTCGCCGTGCGTACGCCAAATCGCTCGAGACTCACAGAGATTTCCCGACAATTAAAATTCCCGTAATTCTCTCGTTACAATACGATAGCCTATCGATAAGTCCATTTAAAAGAGACGCGCAGGAGGAAAGGCGCCTTGAAATGCGCGGGAGACGCGCGAGTGAAAATAGATGGATGGATTTATGACAAACAAATAAATCGGTGTCGACCCGGTGCCGACGGACGTGGGCGCGGTTTATTTTCTTTCTCCGTTTAGACGCGTCACACGGCGCGGCCCGGAAGTCGAACGAACGAACGAACGTTCGAATGTGCGACAAACGTCGGCACCCCCCTCTCATTTATTCTTAATTATTTATGACGCCGCGCGAGAGAAACGGGGGGTATAGTTCGCGATCGAGAGCGATAATAACCAATGGGGCGAGACGCACTTTGTTTCCGTTATCCAATAACGTTCGATAGCCGATAACTTTGCTACAGCGTCATTGCACATTTGTCTCTCCCCGCGCGTGGATAGCGCGTTGTTTACGCACCGCCCCGGCCGCACATATCTCAAGCGATTAAATTTTTCTCTCTTCTCCGTCGCAACCGTGTTGCGCGCCGTTTTCAAAAGCGAAGGTAATTATTCCTCGCCCCGAAATCGGCCGCGGAATTAACTCGTCGCTCGATTTTTAATTAAAAATCGTCGCAAAATAAATATCCAAATACTATAACACAATGATTTTTTTTTCTTATAATTTTCCGAATAACGTAAAACGATTTAAAAAATAATATATATATATATATATATATACGATTCAGAAGACAATGTTTCTTTATGACACACACTAGAAATTAATTATTCGCTCCTGTTGCACGAGAGAATGGTTTCTAGAATTATTTACGGTCGCATAAGCTCTTGTTGCTGAAAAGTATGCCAAGAATATATAATTCAATCCTTTGAAATGCGTTTCGGAAGTGCAGTAACAATGCTAATGACCGCGGCCTTTGTCTCTTACTGCTGCTTTCGTCCGTTGTAATTCTCTCCCTCATTCACCTGCAAATTCCTCCCTTTTTTGAGAGAGAGAGAGAGAGAGAGAGAGAGAGAGAGAGAGAATGCATTTCGCAAAATAATTAAGGTCCTATCGGGAAACTGTTGTACTGTATTTCACGCGATAAGCCGGAGCCGAGAGTAATCGAAGGACAAAAATAAAAGTTGAAAAATTCCAACTCGATCATCTCGCAGACAGAGAGGGTGGATGGGCGAAACGCGTGCGATCGCGCGATTGGACGTGGTAAATTTTGCACGGGGTTACAACAACGAGGGTATTCCGTGGCGATCACGCGACCGCAACCGCCGCCGCCGCCGCCGCCGCCGCCGTGATCCCGTCGAAATTGCGGCCGCGCGGGAAAGGGCGGGTATGTGTTTAGCAGAAATTATGGTAAATCACGCGGAGCGTGCACTTATCCAATTGCGAACTCGGATCGGATCGGATCGGATCGGATCGTTTCCCGGCCCCCGGGTGCAAGGCCGCGCGATTCCCTGAATTCCTGGGATACGGGAGCACGCTCGCACGCTCGCACGCTCGGATTTCAACTTCAAGACAGGCAAACCCCCGTATCATAGCCGTTCGTTAAACCCCCCCAGATATTCGCGATATATGCACATATATATTTATATTTTACGGGAACGTTCGCATCGCGTCTCTCATCGCGCGAATAAGCGATACCAAGTTCAAGTATGAAAAACGGAACGTGATACAAGGCGAAATTCTACTCGGAGAGAAAAAAAAAGCGCTCGCGAGACTATGATTCGCGTAGATATCATAAAAAGAAATTACGTTCCGCAACGGAAAATAATAATATTATATTTCTGCACGACGCGTGGCGCGTCGAAAAATGAAATATGCTCCTAAAATTTAGTAATTTCATTACTTATATTATTCTATGATGAAAATATATAAATAACGCATGGAAAATATGTGCAATCATAAACGATCTTATAATTGAGTATTATATTTGCGTTCTATAGAGTAGGATTAATTTGCATGTTATTATTGCATCTCCAATTTATATATGCAATAATAAAATATATATAATATCTACGTATCTCCGTCTGTCTCTTTCCCACATTTGTAAAAACAAATTGATTATAATACGCCAAATCAATATTATGCAATCATGTTGTGAAAATGTTATTGAAGAATTTCTCGTGCAAAAATTTAAAAAACGGCAGTAAAAATAAAATTTACACGTGTAGCTCGCTATTTCGATCGACTTCACGGTAATTTGGTGATAGAGACCCTGGCCAATTCTCTACGGTCGAGTCGCTTTTATCGGGGTGATTCGTCCCCTCGCAGCCAACCGGTCCCAACGACTCTTCCAACCCCCATAACTACGGATGCAATCTGCCAGAAACAGGCTTCCATGAGGATTCCATTCGAAGCCACTTATCAGCTACGGGGAGGCATCCACGTGTCCGCAAACAAATCCATAAATAAAATTCTTAATAGCTTAAAAAGCTTCGCAACTGACAGCGCCTCGCTGCCGCGCAAATATTAAATCGCGACAGACCACGATGAAAGGGCACTTTTGACGAGAGAAACTGTTTCGAGGGCAACGGAAATTACGGCGAAAAATTCCAGACGAACGCACCACGAGTCGAATTGATCCGTCACGGTTATCGAGAGAGAGACTCGATTTTTTTTCGAAGCGCCCGATAGATTCGCGACAGAAATAAAGTATCAGAGCAACGACCCGAGAAATTCCTGTCGCAAAAGCTGTACCTATGGTATATAAAGGCTATGAGGCCATCAATATCTTCGTAATATCCTACATTTTTCAAGCGAGCCGCTTGAGAAAAATTCGAACGCGAATATTTGTCATTCGAGTTTCGGCACGCTAGCGAGAACGAGTCGATTAAATCGACTTCGTAATGTGATTTAGATCGCGCGCCTAAGCCTCTCGTTATTTAAGAGGATGCTTTAAGTTAGGCGGCAATGTTGACTTTATAAAAGTAAGTCCCGACTAAAATCCACGCGTACACAAATTCTTTCTCTCTTTTTTTTTTTTAACTCGTTCATCATCGTAAATCGGTCAGCTTAATAATAACCTGATATTCGAAAAAAAAGAAAAAAAAACAACTATTTGGACTGGATTAAATTCAGTTGATTAAACTTTCAATAGTCAATTTCGACATTTTGAAATTTTCGAAATGATTTTTGATTAACCTTAATTCAATTACACACGAAAAAAATAACAATTTATTAAAAGAAATTTATATTTAAAATAAAAATTTTTATATAAATTTCTATTTGTTTAAAAATGTCAAGCTTGACGATTTATATTTTACTACACGTGGTGATATCAAATTATCATATATGCATCTGAAAAAAATTGCCTTACCTATGTAAATTCTTATTTCATACACACGATACGCAATAATAACAATAATAATAATAATAATAATAATAATAATAATAATAATAATAATAAATAAAAATAATATATAAAACGACGTAATACATATTTTTTTAAATGCATGTATGCATAATGGGGCTAATGAACGATTCAAGGAAGACATGTAGAATGACATGTATCCCCAGTGACAAATATTCCCAATGTTTTCCTTACTATATTTACTAAAGCATTTTTAGACGAGTAGATACAAAAACACGAGCAGTGTCGTGTGACCGACTAATAAACACAAATAACGTCATCACAAAACACGATACGCGGCTTATATCGGATGTATCGAAATAAAACAAACGTGAAAATTACAGACAGGTAGGACTCGGCGGCAACGAATTGCGGACGAAATCGAATGACCAAACACAGATTTGCGTTGTTCAGAATAGTCGTTACTCAAGCTCCGTAACTTTTTATCGACGATCACTGGTCGTTGCGAGTCAACGCGCATATCTCACGCCGGAATCAAAATTTATCACGTATTTATCGCGTAAAAACTCTGTAAAATATTCTGCCATTCCATCGAGATGTTTGCAATTGCACACTTTGATCTCGATTCAACCAATACTTTATTTTATTACGGGATTTAAAATATATTTCTATCCGACTTATCGTTATTAATTTATCCGCGATGAAATCAAAAGCGCTGGAATTCCAGGCGAAATTTCAGGCAATTTTTTAATTCAAAAATATTAGCCGTTAAATAACACGTCCCTTGGACACGCAACCTTCTCTAATCGCCAAGATTCGCC